GGGCGGGGGTGGAGAACTCTGAGACTGGGGCCTCCCACAGCCGCGGAGAATCACTCCATTCCGCCGGGTGCTTCTAGCGCCTACCGCCCTCCGGGCCTTCACGGCGACCCTCTACCCTCTGCTCCGCGCCCCCTCCTCAGGTCGGTGCTGCCCCCTGGTGTCAGGTGCACTGTGCGCAGGCTGCGAACCTACGGCCTCTTCCCAGCTCGCCCTCTTGGCGAGAGGAAGGGGGGAGGAAATGAATGTGACCCTTTTCTTCTCACTTTAGGGCGTCTTTAGTGCAAAGAGACCTCATAGTGTCCAAGGGAAATTCTATCTGAGGGAAAAAGGGCCTCCATCCAGCTCCTAGACAGTTCCTTCCTGGTTCCAGGGACCAAGGCAGAGAAGCCAAGACCTGTCCCCAGGAGATGACAGCCCCCAGGTGGCTCGCTGGCTGAGGCGCCGCCAGGATGCAGCGCTGGGGGGCAGCTCTTCCCTGCCCAAGGAATAGTTTAGATCTCTTTTCTTGGAATGCTTCAGCCCACTACCATGCCCCAGGCCTCGTGGAGACGCAGATATTGTCACTTCTCCATCCCACCATCTTTCGTGTCCCTGAAGAGTAGGAGTCCTCGGCCCTGGCCCTGCGGTGCCAGCCAGCTCCACCAGAGTCTTAGAAAGGAACCCCAAAAGCTTAAGGAGGAGGGAGAAGGCCTGGAGATGCCTGTTGGCTGAGTGACAAAGAAAGGAGGGCGCCTCCCACTGGAGCTTACGGGGTGTGGGAGAACGGGGCTGGGGGTAGTCTGGGAGTGGACTCAGCCTGGTGGAGAGAAGCATAGTGGGTGCCAAGCCCCATCTATTGATTCCCTAGAGGAAAGGGATGCGGGGAGGGTGATTTAGGGAGCCCCATCCCAGAGAGGTTTAGGTGAGTTATGAGCAAGAACTTTCAGACCAGACTTTGCAACTCCAGTCCAAACCTAGGTGTGTCTTTTCGCCCAGATCCTTCTCATTTCCTCCCACCGTGTCGCCCCACTAAACCGCGCAAGCCTGTGGTTTCGCCCCTACCCATCTTCACCTAGGGTAATGATGGGCAAGCTCCAATGGTGATTAATTTTATAAAAGTAAATGCATGATTGTATGAAACTTACTGTGAATGAAGAATAGTGTGACACACAATACATATGAACTTCGTAAGCACCCTAATTTAAAAGGGGGGAGAACCCACCTAGGTATGTGGAGGATGTTTTAGGAGGCAGAGAGATGAGGAAACGTGCTGGGGTTCCTGGTAACTGGGATGCCACTGTGTGACCCCTCTTGGGAAGTGAGAGAACGATCAGGAGACCCCACCTTCCCCGCCCTATTCACTCAGAGGTACTGAAAAGGAATGTTTTCACGTGAACCTCGCCTCTCAGGCCTGGTGGAGAGGGGGATACCCCACGACAGCGCCCCATTTCCAAGTCCCAGAGTTAGGCGTCCAGGCTGCAGCGCGGCGGTGCTTCTTCCCTTGACTCAGCCATCCGGCAGGAGGCCCCTAATAACTGGGGAGCGGACACTCGGCGAGTGGCCAGCAGAGGGAGCCCGGCCCGCGCGGGGGGCGCAAGGGGCGCAGGGGGCGCGAGGCGGCCCGGCGCCTACAGACCCAGCTCCGCCCTGACCGGCGCCGCCCGCAGCCCCCGCCGCCCCCGGGGTGCAGCTGCTGCCGATGGGGGGCGCCCAGCCTCGGCCCCCTCCTCCTGCCCCACCCCGCGCGCCGCTGGCGCCCCGAGCCCCCTGCGGCCCACAGAGCGCACAGCGCGGTTCACTTCGCATTGCAGCGTTTTATTGTTTTTCTCGAGTTTTTGTCGTTTCGTTCTCCCTCAGGAGAGAAAAGTGAAAACCTGAGGTGGACCCCGCGGGTGGGCTCTGGCAGGGCAGCCCGGGCGGAGGGGCCGGGGGCGGCGGGGACTCTTCTGGGCGCAGGGCCATCCCGCGGACCCGGCCCTGTACAATATAGATGCTCATGTAAAATGGGAAAGAAATTAAATGCTATGAGTTAATCTCTAATATTCTGTACACAGTAATGTACACCTTTGAATAAATTAATACCAATTTGCATATTCTGGGAACCTTAAAGCTTATTTACACAAATTACCATTTATTTCATAAATATCTTTTTTTTTTCTCCCCTGGGGACTCAAGGCGGATGTGCCACTCTCTCCACTGACCCGGGGACAGGGTAGCAGACGGTGGGACCAAAAGGACAGGGCTCCTGGTCAGCGGGGTCTACTTTGCCCTCAGTCTTCGGTGACCCCGACTCCCACCCTCCTTCTCACGCCGTGGGGACCTCAGGCCAGGGGCTTGGGGCTGCAGCCTAAGCGCCCAGCCCGGGCCCTGGCCCTGCTGGCTCCAGAGAGAGAGAGAGAGAGAGAGAGAGAGGCCTTCGCAGCGGCGCTGGGGACCCAGCGAGACCCTCGGCCACTGCCGTCTGTCCCCGGAGCAGACAGATCTGGACTGAGGTTGGTGGGAAGTGGCCACGTTCCCAGCAGCCAGGTCCCCATGCTGGAGCCGGGGAGGCGTGGGGGGCCCCCCGGTTGGCCGGTCAGGGCTCCCGTCAGGCGGCTGCAGCCACCTCTGCTCGGCTCTTTCAATAAATACCCATTCTGTGCTGTACACGTCCCAAGCGGCGGGGCGAGCAGCCCGGGAGGCCTGCGTGGCGGCGGTGGCGAGCGCGGCGGCCGCTCACTTGGGCGACTCCCGGCCGGGGGAGAGGGCCCGCTGGCTCTCCAGCCCGCTCACCAGCCTCTGGATGCTCTGCAGTTCGCTGGCCGCCTCCTTGGCCGTGCCAGGAGACAGGGCTCCGCGGCCCGGGGCCCCTGCCTTGCGGAGAGCCGGCTCCGGCGGAGGGCTGGGCTCGCGGCTGCCGCCCGCTGCCTGGACGCCCTCGGCGGCCAGCCCCGGGCCCAGGAGGCTGGAGCCGGGCGGGATGGGGACCGGGATCTGGTAGGGGCTGAAGCGCAGGCGGGGCCGGGCACTGCCCAGGAAGGGGCTGCGGGACAGGGAGCCCGCGGCGGCGGCGGCGGCGGCGGCTGCGGCCGCACTGGTGGCCGGCAACGCAGAGGCAGCGGCGGCGGCTGCGGCCATGTAGGTGTAGGGATAGGGGAAGAGGCCTCCGAAAGTGGGCATCGGGATTCCCTGCCAGAAAGAGAACATGGAAAAGGTTAGGTGGCCATCCGGAACAAGATAGCAAGGGTTCGGTGGGCATCCAGAGGGTGGGCTGGGTGCTGGGAGGTGGTGCCACAGCCCAGGGGGTCTGCCCTACTGTTTTAGGGACACAAAACCCTGAAGTCACATGGCCACAATCAGCACCGGGTAGGCACAGACCATGGGCCTCCTCCAACCAGCTGCCCGCTCACTTCAAGATGGGAGCCAGGGCCTGGCCCAGTCAAACCCTGTGCCGGGCATCAGGCAGCACTAAGAGGAAGGACATTCCAGGTGGCAGACCGTTTTGCCAAAGGCCTAAGGGGAGGAAACGAGGCAGGCATAGGGCCAGGTGGCAAGCAGGCCGCTGTCCTGTCGTGGGAAGGTTCTGTGTTTTCAGAGCAGTGTTCTGGCCACCTCTCCTAACTGTAGATGTGCCACAGGCCATGCACCCATGGGCAGGAGGTGAAAGCTCTGAGTCTCTTCTCTTCTGTCTGACCACTTGCTCAGAGGGGTCCTGCCTGGGCCAGGAGAAGGGAGCAGATGCCAAGCAGTTCATAAAACGGCTTGAATGTTCTACCAAGATTTCCTGGTGGCCCTCCAGTGGCAGCCAAGGAGGGAATGCAAAGTCGCTGCCTGGGAAGATAGAGGTGGCCAGGAAAGCCCAGTGTCGCCTGAGTCTATGAGGACCGACTTTTGGATGATCTGACCTTTGAGATGACAGCTCACTCACCAGAGAGAGAAAGAATGGTGGGGGTGACCAGACTGTGCTCCTGGGGCACCTCAGGCCTGGGTTAGGTGGGGAGAAGGAAAAAGCTTAGCAGACACTGAGGAAAACTGCCTTCCAGGAGAGCAATGATTTCTATTGGTCATCTCAGGTTAGGAGGAAGAAAAGAGGGCTGCAAAGTTCCTAGAACTGGGATCTGCCCGACTCAGGGACGGGCTGCACTGCCTGGGACTTCACCACCAGGGTCTTCACCAACTGGCCCTCCCTGAGAGCTGGGGGGGGGGTTGTTCACCCTTACATTGTACCTGCCCTGACTAGAAGTTCTGACTCCCCTTGTCTGTGGTGTCTGTGATCATTGTCTTTATCAAGTCCAGGAAGGAGGCCTCACAGAACCTGGGGTGTGCCTTACATCCTCAGCTCCTGAATTATCTCCTCTTCAGATGCCCTCTCCAGCCCAGGGCCCCAAGCTGGCGATACCACATTGGTGCCACCAATAGCGCCACACACACACCCTGACTCTGAGTTCTGTTTAAAACCTCACTCTAGAATTGAGCTCTGTTTAAGCCCCTCACCTCTCAGTGCCACCCAATCAGCCCCCACTCAGCACACACTACAGGAGGGTTTCAGAGGTAATAAGTCACATGAGAAGAGACTGCCCATCTTTCTCCCTGAGGAGCACCTGGTGGAACCGAACCACTTGGGCTTGCAGTACATCTCTGTACCCACTAACCACCACCCGCCAGTTAAAAATGTTTGCAGTTGAACCAAAGGAGTCTTCTCAGACCTGAACTCCTCTCTCCCTTCCCCTGAGATAAGATCTCAAGGGCTCAATTTGCCAGAAACCTCAGAGGGAAGAAAATGAATGAAGGATTCCAAATCTTTCCACAGGGAATATTCCACCCAAGCAAATAAAGAGGCTGCTTTCCTCAGCCCATCTCCTTATTTTGCCGCTGGCCACATTTTCATAAACTCTCCCCTGGGAGGTCAGAATTTCAACCTGGGCTGGAGAAGCTAAGTCTCCTTCATGGAGATGTTACAGGAGCAAGAGAGAAATGGGGGGACCTGAGGAAGGGGAAGGAGAGCTCCTCAGGGCAGAGGGCTTCCCACTGGGCCTGACAGGGAGCAGAACAGCTGGGAGGTGGGGCGTTTGGATGGTCAATTGTCCAGAAAATATTGTAGACTCTCTTCCTCTCTTTGTCTTGTCATCCTGACCTTTTAGGCATGGAGGGACCTCTGATCCTAAGAAAAATTTCCTGAGGGCTGGGAGATGTCTTTCAGAAAACACCCTCATTTGTCAGAGCAGGAATTTCGATGGGTCACTGTTGAGGTTACAGTGAGGAAATGGAAGCTCAGAGAGGGTCAGGGACTTGGTCAAGGTCACAGAGGATTCATGCTAAACCCTGGACCTGCAATCTTAGTTTCCCAGAACCCAGGTGTTTAGAGCGACATTCTTGCCTTTGGAGGACCTGGATATGGCACCCTTAAATCCTCTGCGTCCCCAGGCCAACCTTAAGCCTCCATCCTGCTACCACCAGATCAGGAGCCTTACCTGAGATGCCAGCATGTGCTGGGAGAGGTGGAACGGGAAGGGAGCGGCGCTGCTGGCTGCGCTGGCTGCGGGGCCCAGGCCGCCTGCGTCCAGGCCTGCGGCTGCCCCGGGCCCACCGCCTCCACCGTTTCCGCCGCCGCCTGCCACTGAGGCCAGAAGGTGGCCCATTCCCATGGCAGAGAAGGCGCCGGGCCCCATGGCAAACTGTCCTGGGTGCAGGAAGAGTGGTTGGCCGGCTCCCAGAGGCCCGAAGAACTGCTGCCCATGCAGGTGGCCAGAGAAGGCCAGGCCAGGCAGGTGTCCAGCGCCCAGGGGGGACGCACTGTCCGTTTGCACCACCAGCGGCGCCAGGCCTGGCTCTTTGCCCTCGCCCGCCTCCTTTCGCCCCTCGTCCTTCCGCCGGGCCTCAGGGCGCTCCTTTTCCAGGCCCCGCAAGCCAAACGCGCCGTCCCCGCAGCTCTCAGGCGGCTCCTTGCTCCGCTCGGGGCTGCGTCGCTCCCGGGCGCGCTCGGCTTCGCTCAGGCGCGGGGGGCTGGCGCCGTCCAGGCTGGGGCTGCGGCCCAAAGCGGTCCCCACCCGCTCCTCGCCCAGGCGCTCGGGCTCGGGGTCGCTGTCCGCGGCGCACACCTTCTCCTCGGCTGTCGGGACACAGGACACGCCAGGTCACGGGGAATTGGGGAGGGCAGACCAGGTCCCCTCCCGGCGCATGGGCCCCTACGGGGAGATTGGTAAACCCCAATCTTCTGAGGAACTTCAGGGTCCTGGATGGGTCAGGGGCAGCTGCAGGTCAACCAATTCAAGCCCCCCTCCCCCATTTACATGAATTACACCAAGTAACCTCACACAGCGTTGGAGGGGCTAAGCCTGGTGTCCCACCGGCCTTCTGACTACTAGGGGTCCCCTTCTACCAGTGACTCCTCTACCGAGGACCCTTCTACTGAGAACTCACTTCGCAGAAGAGTCCCAAGGTTTGGAAGCCCAACCCCAACACACTGCCTCGCTCAGGAGTCACTGGGGGACAGCGGGCGCCCTGAGGCCACTCTCCCGGCCGCTCCCGGGGGACCCTCACCTCGCGCCCGGTGCAGACGCAGGGGGCTTGGGGCTGCGCCGGGGGACGAGGGCGCCTCTCGGGCAAGGGGAGGTTCGCAAGACGAGGCGTCCGAGTCGGCGCCATCGCGCTCGGGTTTGCAATGCTCCTCGTACAGGCGTAGGGATGGCAGTGTCAGCTGCTTCCTGGGGACAACGGGTGGGAGCCGTCACTGGGCGCCTCCCCCGCGAGCCCGTCCCCGCCGCCGGGCTGCCCCGCGCACCCCTCACCTTTTCTCTCGCCGGCCGTTCCCCGTGTCCCGGAAGCCCTTGGCGAAAGGGTTGTTGTCGATCTTGAGCTGCGTGATCTGCGGGGATGGAGGCAGCCGCACCAGGTCAAACCCTGCCCGGGCCAGGGCTACCAGAGGTCAGGGGCCGCGGATAGGACAGCCGGAGAAGTCCCCGCGGCACCCGCCCGCCTGGGCCTTCCCTGCGATGGGACAGCCACGCAGGAAGGCGACGTGAAGCCCATGACCCGGGTCTCCGCTCAGACAAAAAAACCTTTCTCAATAAGCCCCGGCGCACGTGCGCGGTCACGAGAGGACACAAACCCGCGCGTGGGCCATGTGCGCCCGGGGACAGCGGAGTGCACGTAGGTGCCCACGGAGGCAAAACGCCACGCACACGTACCGCAGAAACCAAAGGAATTCACACGCCCCCCCCCGCACGTGCTCCCCAAATGGAGCCCAGAGAAACAAGACGCAGTCACAGAAATAACGCCCCGCGAGGACACTCGTTTACACGCGAGAAAGAGCACTCATGGGCGTACTCCGCTTGTGGGCACAAGGATACTGAGGAGGGGACGCTACACTGGACTGGAAGACAGCAAACAGGAAAGCGCTCTTGGACTTGACCCAGCCCAATAGCCCCAGGTGTTTGGGGGACTTGTCACCTAGCCCGCCCTTTGGCTTCCTAGGGGACAGTGCAAAGCAGAGTCCCAAGTCACTAGCGCCAAGAAAGCCTGGGCAGATGGCCCCAGGCGCTCTCTCTTCATTTAAATTCCCATCCCAGAGCCAAGAAATAAACGAATAAAATGTAAAAATGTCAGCGCAGGCCCTGAGCCTCTGCTAATTGCTAAGTAAACATTTCCACCCTGACGAGCGCCCAGCTGTGCTTGCGCGGGGGAGCGCGTGCGGGGCTCAGGGCTGCGGTGGGTGTTGCGCCTCCAAAGCTGGGCTCGGCGCTCTGGGGTGGGCGGCAAGCACTCGAAGGGTGCGAGGCCGCTTTGAGAGTTGGGGTCGCACACGTAGGGGCTGGGCCCGTCGCCGCCCTGCACACCTTGTCGTTCTGGTAGGCGGTGACCGCGATGAAGTCTGTCTCGGGAAACACATAGGTCCGGAAGGTGCTGTAGGGCAGCTTCAGGATGTCGTTGGCCCGCACGATGTGGAAGCGCGGCTGGTACTTGTGCATGGAGTTCAAGATGGTCTGCGGAGAGGACCAGCAGTCCTTCAGCTCTCCGGGGACCACCGACCACCCCTTTCCTCTCAGCATCCCCTCTTTTTCAGGGTTCTGCCTTTTCCCATTCTGTCTTCTCTCCTCTTTTTCAGGCCTATATTTCTTTCTTTCTTCTTCATCTTTTTGGGTTTTGGGGTTTTGATTGTTGGTTGGGTTGTTTTGGTGTTTGTTGTGTTTTGATGGGTTTTTTTTTTTTGTCCCAGTTTTCTTTTTCTTTCTCTCTTTCAACAGTTAAAAACCCCATTTTCATTCCTTTCTTTCTCCATTTAAAAAATTCCCACAGTTGAAAGCCAAACTAAACCAAATTTCTAAAAATCCCTGCAAATCCTCTGGTTGGTAAGCTCCTTGGAACCCAGTGGGGAAAAGCCCCTGGCCCGGTCTAGGGGCTCCCTGAATGCCCTCCCCCGGGGTAGGTGAAATTCCTTTTGCCCCATGAACTTCCAACATTCTGGGCCCTCAACTAGGAAAACAGAGGAGAGAGGGGCCCATCATGGCCTTGCTGCCTGGGGCCTCATTCAGCTTGTGGAAGGATGGAGAGGTGGCCCTCAGAAAGGCTCATTTAAATTCTAAATCCTCAGAGGGGACTGGGATATGGGCCTTAAGGAAAGGCAAGGGACAAGGACAGCTCTTCCAGGCTGAGCACTCACAGGCCAAGAACATGGTGACCTGGACCAGCCCCCAGGGCTTCACTTCCTACATTCCACATCTCACACCTGCCTACTGCTCCACCTGGCCCCAGCCAAGGTTGAGAGCAGTCTGGGGCTGCCAGACCACCTGCCCTTGCTGTACCCCAGTCTTGAGGAGTGAAGGCACCCAGGCCCAACTGGCTAGGCCGTGGGCTCTATCTGGATAGGACATCCTGAGGACTCCTCTAGCCCTTTCAGGGGGAGAATCTTGCCTCCGAGCTCTCCCTCCAGGCCCTGGAGTGGAGATTCAGGCCTCCGACCCCTGCCCCCTACCTCCCACCCCCAGCCATACACTCACAAAGCCGTGTTTGTCCGAGATGTTGTTCGTTAGTTTTAGCTTGTGGAAGGCCACCGGCTTGGCCATCCACTGCTCGCCTGTGGCAGGACTGTCTGGGTGGATGTACATGCGTTTGGGCATCTCTGGATCGGCCTTGCCTGCCACCATCCACCGAGAGTTGTGGAACTTATATCGACAATCATCAGCAGCCACAATGTCCATCAGCAGGATGTACTTGGCCTTCTTGTCCAGGCCGCTGACCCTTACCTTGAAGGGAGGAAACATTCGCCTGAAAGAAAGGGAAGGAAGGAGATCTATTGGAACCTGGCTTATCTCTGCCCAGAACCCCGTCCTTTTTGTCTCCTAACAACACTGCCTGGAGATCCCTTAGCTGTGTCTCCCAGTTGTTGCTGCTTTGTCCCTTCACGACCCCCCCCCCCCCCCTGTAGTTATTGCTCCTTGGAGGTCCCATTTCTGCCATCACACTTAGGTCTGGTGAGCCTTCTCCTCCCTGATCTGAGATGAAAGTTGAGGCCCAGGAAATAAATAAATCTAGGCCCTCTGGAAATACAAGCGTTTCTCCCAAATCTCCCTGAAATTTATTCAGGACGAATACTGGCTTAGGACCGAAGCTTCCAGAAAGCAATTCGGAGGGTATTTTAGGAAACAGGATCCAGAAGTGAGACAGGGACCTTGACCCTGCATTTCGGGGGAAGAGGGTGAGTGTGAGGCCCTTCTCCTAGGCCGCTGAATCCGGGGGCGGAGGGCTGTGGCTTCTTCTGGCTTTGAGGCCTGGAGCGCAGGGTGCGCCTGGCTCCCAGTGACCAGGCTTCCGGCAGGGTCAGGCCGCGGGGCCCCGCAGGCCTGGTGCTTGCTGCCCGGAACTGGGCATCAGGAGGGGACCGGCGGTCCGGGCTGGCCTAATGGGACGTGGAGTCTCACTCTGGGCCCCAGAGCGAAGCAGAAAGTTGGGGAGATGCTGTGTCTGCCGTTGCCCCGCTCCCGACAGTAAGGCGCGACTCTGTGCCTGGGGGGCTACGGAGAGACCCTGGGGGCCAGGCCACCAGGCCTTCTGGGCTTGGGGACTCAGGACAGTGGGGTCTGTTCTCTAGGACTATGTTTTCGTTTTATTTCATTCAGGAGATAGCGCTGATTCAGTTTTAGAAAATTCCCTTCAGCGCCAAATGAGGAAAGGCAACTTTGATGTCCGTGGCAATGGCCGTGGCGCCCAGCGCGGCTCGGTGTCCCCGCCCGTCCGCCCGCCGGCCACCCTACCTCCCGGACTTGGTGATGACCATCTCGGTGCCCAGCTTGTGGAACTGGTCCCACAGCTCCTTGGCTTCCAGCGTCACCTTGGGGTCGTCCTCCACCTCGTCCTCGGGCTCCAGGTTCTTAAGCGAGCGCAGATGCGCGGCGGGCGGGTGCGGGCCGAGTGCCGAGACGTGCAGCCCCGCCTCGGCCGCTGCCGCCGCCGCTGCCGCC